GAAGTTACAGTTGTTAAGCGTTCAGGCTATTTTAACAAACATCACCTTGTTAATGACTAGAAACAGGGAACTGAAAAGATATAACAGGATTCATAAATGCTGCTGAAGTTTTGACTGGAAAAAACCCAACAGATTTGTAGAAAATACTGGGAGAGGTACAGGGAGAGAGAGAACCTGAAGTCTCATGGAACAAGCAGATCAGAGCAGCAAACCTGAATGGGATTAAATTACACACAAATCTCCTGGAAATGATCTAAAAAGTGACTTGTTCCAAAACAATCCATTTCTAAATTTAAACACTGAAGAGTTCACAGACACGAAAACTAAATCAGGCAATGGTGTGACCAGGAAAAAGGTGCTGGAAGAGCTGTTTTCCCTCCCCTGCTCCAGCCTTTTCACATATTGATTTTCCTCCACGCTCATTCACAAAGGCTCAGCAGAGTTGTGAACAATTTAAAGTCAAAGGATGCACGAATTACCGGCTCCAGGAACACATCACCAGGCAAAAGCCGAGGGCTTTGCTGTAGCTGAAGAAATAAAACCAACCCAGAATCAGAATAGACTAATGAGCTGGAAGTGAAGGACAAGTAAATCCCTAATTTTCCCTCTCCACAACAAAGCCAAAGCACACAACATTCCTCAAGCTTATAAGACAAAAAATTGAGAAAAACAGTGCCTGAAGAGAAGGGTGAATGAAGAGCAATGCTGGATAAAAGAATAATAAAGCAGGCATGAAGGGCTCCCCTTTCCAGATGTTAAGAATACACGTTTTTTTCATTCCAGGTTTAAAAAAAAGATTAGCAGAGGAGGAAGTTTTCTTTGGAGAGTGGGAGCACCTGCATAATTTTTTTTTTTGAACAAGGTTCATACAATGCTATTTCCATCCAATAAAATTTTTATATATATGTCACCGTATGACATTTTTCAGAGCATTTTGTGTGCAGGAACTGCCAACGGAGAGGGAACAAAATGAGTGGCAAGGGAAAGCCACAGGAAAGGGCAGGACTGAGAGACGCACATCCTCCAACATGCACACTCCAAGTTTAACATCAGGGCAAGGAGAGGGATAGCAGGATACAGCAAAGGATACGCTGGGGTCAGGAAATGAAAGAAGAATCCACAGCGCTCAACACTGACTTACGCGATGTTTTACCAATAAAAACAGGTAGGAATTTTTTTTTGCCTGTGGCTCCATCTTAGCCAGGCCAGGGAGATTGTCCCAGTACGAGAAGTGAAATTAGAGAGCACAACTGGATGCTGGATCCACCCTGAAGAGCAGAGCACGGCGTTTCACCTATTTCCACTTGCTCTCGCGTGGTTCCCAAATTAGAAACAATCAGAATCCTGCTGGAAACAATATACGGCACCTTAATTGGGTTGGCTGCGCTACAGACGTCAGCAATGTATCACTTAGTAGATCATTTTTTGACTGCCTTTTTTTATTTTTTTTTTAAATACTAAAAATAGCTTCACTTTCACGGTTCACCTTTTCTACCTCACGTTACTACAGGCGCCGTAAAAAATTAAACATTCGCACTCGTTGCACGCCGAGGATGCTGCAGAGCCCACTCCTGCTGGAGGCAGGATCTGACACCTAATTCAGCAGAATTATACTTAAGGGTTTGTCTCAAATGTGTTGCATTTACAGAGAACCTGTTTTCTAACACATTTCCCCGTAGTACACCCATCAATGCATCTATTTAAAAGCCTGGAGCAGCTCAGTTATCTCTAAATACATCAACAAACCAGACATTCCACTGCTCCACGCATTCCAAGCACTCCAGAATCGCTGCACGGGACTTGGAAATTCACATTAAAAATCCCTCCCAGTTTTCATCCCCGCACACCCCCTGAGTGCTACACCCCCACTATTCCCTACCAGAGCCACACTGCAACCAAATACATTCCTGTGAAATTATTCCAATAGCAAAATATCACCATTTTCTTCACAAACCCTGGAAACTTGGACTGATCTTCAAACACGGCATAAACAAGTCAAGCAATGAGAATATGTAAATGAAGCATAATTCCTGAGCACAAAGGGGGAATAATTATAGCAACAATGTAACAAATAAAAAATGAACAGGGTGGCATGGAGAGACACCCAGACAGAGTGTCCCAAATTAAGGAAAAGAGGTCTGCAGGGTCTACAAAGTCGGACCAGCCACAGATCATCCATAGGCTACAGTCACTGGTTTTTTAAGTGTCCATTTAAACCAAATTAATAAAACCATTGAAACCAGCAGCTGATGAACACAGTAGTCTCTGTCAGCTCCAGGTGCAGGCAAACTGAGGCCAAGCTATGCCTAGTTTGGATAGCAAGATCAGCTTTTGAAGGAATACAACCCCTTGGAAAAATACCTTTGGGTGAAGTTCAAAACAACTTTTCTGGATGTCTGTCAGCAGAAAGGCTGTTCAGGAGCCCTGTCAGTACTTGGAAAGCAATTTTTTTTAGAAAGAAAAATGATGAATAGTGTGACAAACTCATTTTAGCATTCACAGTCACAGGAGTCACAAAACACAATGAGAAAATAGGAATGTGGCATACCACACAAGGAATAAAAATCTCAATTATTCACTTCACTCCCCAGTTTGAAAGTATTTAAAATACTGAAAAATGGGAGATACACCCATTGCAGATGGAGAAAACTGTGAAACCTTTACTCATCCTTAGGGGTATCTTACCCTAAAAACAGCCTCAGAGGAGTCAGCATGTCCTGGTTACACTGTACAGCACAATGGAGTGACCTGTTACTCACCTGCTGGGTGTAGCATTTCACTGAACTACATGTTCTTAAAGCAATTATTTAAAAGTGCTGATCATCTGTTAAATAACTCAAACAAGTCAGGCTGTGGATATGTGCTCAGTGGTGTATTTAGCAATCCCATAAATCCCACAATCCTGGAAGTTACCAAGCTTTAGAGAAATACAGAATGGACATTACTGCATCTCACACTTCACAGATCAGTGACTCCCCTCACTGTTACCTCACTCAAGAGGTAGCAGCATATAGGATATAAAATGTTTTGGTGATGAAGGTTTTGGGGTGGGGGCAGCCAGAGCAACACCTCTACCTCCTGGCCAGTAATGAGTCAAGGTCAAAAATGAAGAAGAATAGAGATGAATGGACAAACCAATGTGGAAAAGTAAAGTGTTGCACTGGAGACAGCTACAAAAGTTTCTAATCCCACACCCAGGCATTTCAGCAGGTGCAGGAGAGGACACAAGCTGAGGCTCCTGCACATCACACAGCAGCCTGAGCTTCTGGGAAACACAGATACTTCAGTCCTTGACAAAAATCCTTACTTCTCTTGATCTGGTAGCAGCTCCCAGAAGCATAGATATAAAAGTTCATCTATCAGAGGACAACTTGAAACAAATACAAATAAGACTTAAACGAAGGCAAACATCCAAGCCACAGAGAACACAAAGGTTCCTTAATTTTGCATTTGGAGAAAAAACTAATACTACATGGACATTCTCCAACATATTTTTAATGTTATTAACAGAAATAGCACCCCGGGCTGTGCTCAAGCAGAAAAAGTGTGAAATTGTTTGCAGTGTGGAGTGAAAAGGGGATCAAAAATACCATCTTATAAAATGGCATTTATTTGGTGCTAAGTGAATTATTTATTCAATTGAGAAGTTCACAAAGTGACAGAGGCGTAAACACAAGCGAGGTCACCACTTCATGTCAGTATCAAAGCTGATCCTGAGCAGAATTTAAGCACCTGCCTTTTCTTTTATCTCAGCACAAAATGAGATTTCTTTCTTTTTTTTTACACTTCAAAAGCCATGTAACACAACAGAATACATGCCAAGCATGCAGGAACAGAGCATGCCAGCATCTTTCAGCAATCAGCTTTCCCTTGTCATCCATTATGTCAGATTTATCTATTTTTGCTTAATTCTTGCTCCAGCAATACGCATCCTTCCTCTCTCCAGACTATCAGGCTGCTTGGGCTGGAACTCAATACAGCTTCTTAAAATAGTTGAGAAATATTGAAAATACTTGAAGCAATGCCTGTAAATTACAGCCAATTCATCAACTGATCCTCCAGCTCCCCAGACAAGGGTCAATTCTGATTTCTTCACCTCAGAAAGTCTAACCAGAGTAAATATCATTTAGGAAATGTACACCCTCTCTTTTATGGGAACATTTTTCCATGAAAGCTTAGATCCTGTGTTAATTTCAAATCTTGACCTCTGTTTGCTCTCTTACTTGCTTTTGATCCAAACCTTCCTCTGCTAAAAATTAATAGTGAGTTCATCTGCTTTCAAGTTTCCTTTCTTTATCATTGCTTCCCCCTCCCCAAGTTTCCAGACCCTCTGGAATGACTTTACAGGACACCAGAAGCACCTGAACACTCTCCCTGCATCCTTCACTCCCTGCTCTCTCCACCTCTAATATCTCTAAGACCCTTCAAGAGCATCTTTACCCACTGCTTTATGTACCTACTTAAATGAACAGACTCCAGCAAGTTCAAATTCTTAGGCTGAAAAAAACCCTGACCAGAAACACACACACTGAAAGGAAAATGCAACTATCATCACTCTGTTCCCTCAATGCCTGTGTAGCACCGAGCACGGGATTTTCTCAGTCAGCTGCTGAATCAGATGAAGTTTCCACTGCACACGCACACACACACAGTCAGGAAGCCCTGACACGTCCAGGAGGATTTACTCCATCACAAAGTCACCACCGTTGCTCCAGCACAAATGACATCACTCAGGAACCCAACCTCATCCTCCTGAGAGCTCCCAGCTCCCTCCTCTCCCACAGCGACCGGGGCAACAAAGAACCGGGTTTGTGCAATAAAGAGGGAAAAAAAGTACTGCTGCAAAAAGTTTTCCCAAGGAACTTGTGTTTTCTTGAGACTGTGGTTAGAGAGAAAATGAAGGACCGTGCTAAGAAGTGAGTAGAACAAATTACGGCTGAACTAATTAACCTGCACCTGTGATTTACCCTAAACTTGTACCAAGTGATGAGAGGTGATACCAAGGGAGGGTGAGGCGTCCGTGAGCTCTCGCAGGTGCTGCTCGGGGAGGTTCACACACTGCAGAACCAAAACCATTTCAACACTTTGCTGCACGAGCGGACTGAGAACAGAGGAGTCCAGCTCTGCAGTTTTCTCCTTCTTCTTCTTCTTCTTCAGACGCTTGAAAATCGGTTGGTAGGGAATAAAAACGACGGATGATTTACTGACGATACCTGTGCCCTGCCCATGGCGGGGGGGCTGGGACGAGAGATGGTCTTTAAGGTCCCTTCCAACCCAGACCAGCTTGCGATTCTCTCGCAAAAGGACACTTTTCTTGGGGAAAGAATCACACAAAGGATGTGCTCGCACTGCGACCGCAATCCCCCCTCTCCCCTGACGGTACTTCTATCGCGATGGCTGGCGCACTATCGCGATCCGGGCCGCGTGTGTGGTACCCAGGGGCAGGTATTCAGGGGCTGCCGAGGGGCCTGGGCGCTGAGGAGGGGACACCCCGGGGAGGCGGATGTCGCGACAGAGGGGGGGGCGGGTCGCGACACGGAGGCGGGTCGCGACACTGGTGATCCCTCAGCGGCAGGGGGGAGGGGACACCCGGGAAGGACAATGGGGAGCGGGGCGGAGGAGGGGGGGGGCAGCGCCGCGCCGGTCCCGCCGCGCTGTGAGGGAGAGGTGGCGGAGGAGGAGAAGCAGGAGGAGGTGTCGGCGTGGCCGGCGCCCTCCCGCCGCGGCCGCACTTACTCTCGGAGCCCCTGCCCGGGCCTCATGGCGCCGCCGCCGCTGTGCCCGCCCGGCCCCGCCGCCGCCGCTGCCGCCGCCGCCGCCGCCGCCCGCCCCGGCCCTGCTGGCTGCGC